TATGTATATGTATATATATGTATATACCATGAGTGTGACCAACTTAGCAATAAAAATGTGAGTTGTTTTATACTATGCTTACTAATAACCACAAAATTTCTACCACCGGCCTATCACTTCCTGTCACTTCTCTGCTTTAGAACCACTCAGCAAGGTAAAGAATCTCTTCTCATGAAAATTCCCCGAAATTTTTTTTCTAATGTTAGTTTCTACTAAACAGCTGGACTTATGCAGAGAAAAAAAATCTGTGATAAATAAATCTTTTATATATTATAATGCAGTTGAACTGTAGACCAACAAAGAGCAGTGTATTGTTGTGAAATAGAAGGAAAATTAGAGGATTTAAATGTCCTTTTTTTTTATTTATAAAGTATTAAGGTACATGCATGCATTTTTACTCATAAACCAGTTGCAGTACAATTACTTGTGTTGTTTTCTCTGAAGCTCAATGCATGATCCAAAACAATTCAGGAACCAATTAGAAAATGTTGATGTCTTTCAGTCTGGAAAGGGATACAAAGATGTTTTAAAGATTGGGGATTATGTGTATGTTGAGATCCTGAATGCTTTTCTCTAACTGATCCAAGAGGAAAATGTTTCAATATCAATTTGATACCTTAAGCTGGAGCTCACCTGTTATTCAGCAGGAAAATAGTTGAAACATGCTCAAAATCTTATCTCTGAATGGGATATAAGTGCACAGTTTTCGGTTTTCATTTCATTGACATGGTTCTTCTTATTGAAAGTCATTTAAGTTTTTTTGAGTGGCCCAGTCAGTTGTTGTTATTTAAAGACTTTATGGTCAAATAAAAATTCATGTTTCTTTCTTTGATATAAAAATGTATCATGGCTGAAAGCAAATAAAAATGACTATGAGTAGTAACAGGTGGGAAAAGATGCAAGCCACCGTGCATCTGCACACTGCAAACACATGCAAATGCTTATAAGCATAAATGCATTCAAAAGCAAACGCATTAATGTTCGCATAGCAGAAACTAAGGTAGCTATGAGACACTCTCAGTTTCAAAGAACCTGTCTGAAACCACAGCATTGTATCACCCTCCCCTGCTTTACCCTCATGCATTTCCCCTTTTGAGAAGCGTTGACCACACGACCGCATTTTCTTTTTTTTGTGACTCTTTTTTTTTGCAGGTAGTGTTTTGTCATGGAACCTGTTCTCTTGCAAATACACATACATACAGGACTCAACACAATAAATAGGGACTCAGACAGAAGCAAAGACACAGACGACTCAGCTGGACCTGCAAGCAAGCCTGAGAGACAACAGACATCATGCTGAACCTGAAGAGCCCCATCATTCTGACTACCTGCCTCCTGCTTCTATCTGCTTTCGCTCTGCAGACATATGCCAGTAAGATCATAAATTTTTAGAATAACATTTTTCAGAGTTTTGTAAAAATTTACTAAAACAAGAATGAATTATCTGCATTATATCTGAGCAAATACAGCTAATGACCGTATCTCAAAGAGTGTTAATGATGACTGCATAAGTCGTCTTGGTGGAATAGTCTGGCAATGAAAGAATGCAAAGAAATTATGTCAAGTCTGTGCTGCATTGAAATTTTTATTTTTATTTTCACCATCTTTTTAGACACATTTAATCCAGAAGAATGCTGCTTCAAATTCCTTTCAAACTCAATACCAGCAAGAAGGGTGAAGCTCATCAGACCCACGGATCCGCTGTGTCCCATGGAGGGTGTGATGTAAGTGTCCTAAGATTCTTATACATTTTAGGAAATCTGGTTGTTCACATGACCAAACAAAAATTTGTTAATAAGGGTTCTCAGTAACGATGAAGTTGACCTCTGCTCACAGTTACTGAAATGTCACACTGATATCTTGTTTCCTCCTCTCTGTTGCAGTATTAGAGTGAAGAAAGGGAACGAATACTGTGCTGACCCGTCGCAGGAGTGGGTGAAACAGCTCATCGAAGTCAAGGGGTTGAAAAGCACCAAAAGAGAGAACAACACCACCGTCACAGCATCCCAGTAATCTCTACCCTAACTTCTCACTGCCCAATGAGCCAAGCTGAATTGGAAGTGGAAACATTTACCTTAAGCTCTGTCTACCGTACACTGAAAATTTCCTTTAATATATACTTTTCAATAAATGCAAAAATCCTCAAAATGATTTGTTTCTTTTTCCTTTTTTTCCTGTTTTTTTTTTTTTATGTCAAAGCAACAGCTAAATCAAATTCTGAAATAGGAAACAAAGTTAAACAGTTTTTGTACACCTTCTTATTGTAAATAGGTGTTAAAAATGGAAGCTAAAATACTGAAACCTACACTAAAGGACCATGAAGGTATTCCAATTGATTTCAGTTGATTTACATGATTTCTGAAGGCCCTTTCCCAGAAAAGTAGGACTCCGGCTTAATAACCAGTTATATAAATCAATCCAATCATAGATACTGTTTTAAGTTAAATTACAAATTTTTCTTATTAAAATTTTTCTGATGAAATTTGCAGTGGAATTGTTGGGGATGGGGTCAAGAAGCAAACAGACAAACAATTAAATTAAAGTCTGTTTTTTTTTTTTTTGTTTGTTTTTTAAGATTGAATCACTGGTTATATTGATCATTAAAAAAAAATAATAGCCAGAACCACAAATTTTCTTGTAGTACCACTTACAGCAAAGTGTTGAAAAAGAACACATATTTTAGAATTACAGCTATTCTTGTTCTTTGTTAAAATTGTTTACCTTTGAGTTCATTTAATGGAAGTATTTATACTCCCAACAGCTAGAAACCAAATTTAAATGATTATTAACATGGCCAACTAATTCTATATTATAATTCTATATAGGGAAGGCTAAACACAATAATCTATGGATTACAGTAGAGCAGCATGAAAAAATTCTAAAGAAATAACACATTACTTACTTATTTATTTAACTTTTTATGCATAATATCAGGGTAATTGTTAGCTTTAACACAGTGGGGTGGATGATAATCTAGGAAAAAGAAACAAGAAGGATTCTTCTGTGCAGGAGCTGCCTGAACAATCCTGCTCATTGAGAGCTATGACTCTTGTAAAAATAATTGCATCATAGAGATGCTTTATATATATATATGTATATGTAATTTATTTGTGACACATTTTCAAAATGTTTTAGGATTATTACATAGATTGTTTTTTTTTATTACAGAGCAAGCACAATATCAGAATAATCAGAATTAGCCTATGTGATTGAAATAGTACTGATTGGATTACCATAAAAATAACTATTTACGTTAAATATATCTTCTTATATTTATTTATTTTAGGAAGGGTAAATTGGCTTACCCCTATTTTGGCTGGAGGGCCTCCCATGAACAATATCTGCGCACGTGCCTGCTTTGTATTCTCAGAAAAACTCAAACTCTGCCTGGCTGCTCTCATTTTTATCATACCAAACATCACAGTTCCTGTGGTTTCTGGTTGATGAAACTAAAGGAAGTTCTTATCTGAGCCACTGAGGTTTGATTGACCTACAAAACACTTTTTAAAGTGTTCTAAAAATAAATCTAAACCACACGAACAGGTTAATCTCTTTATAAAAACTCATTTGAGGAATGTTTACTTTCCTTTTTTTAAAATTTTTTTATTTTTTATTTTGGAGTCAAAACTTTAAAACCAGACATGTACGTGCAGTTTCTTTGCAGCAGGGGTCACTCTTTTGTCTTCTATTTAAGTATTTCAAATCAGTTGTTGCATATTTTTATTGGTCAGATTGTTCAGCATCATAAGAAGATTTTTTTTATTTTATTTCAAAATTTAATTCAACAAAAAACTCATGAGTTGATTTATTTAATCTTTTCAAGATGAATAAAACCAAAATAACAAAAAAAAAAACAAAAAAAAAACAACTCATATGCTGGATATCACCTCAGCAGTCATCACGGTATTGCCCTTATCTTTAAATAAGTTTTAGAAAATATATTTTTTTAATGCTTTACTGATTCCTCGGTTTCAACTAGAGAGAAGCTCCACTGGCTCCACATGTGACCCATTGGAGGAGATGCTCTGATTAGACTTGGAGGACCTGCTGCATGGATTTACATAGTAATGAGGTCAAAAGCAGGGGAGAATGATTTGCTGGAGTACCTCTTGTTTGCAAGTGGGATGCTTCCCTAAATGCAGACCAAAATAAATTAACTATAAGTGTTTGGCATTTTTGGAAAGATGGCAATGGGCGTTATATCTAGGTTACAGCTCACATGACCATTGTCATGCCGGATTAATTTTGTTCAGAAGGTTGTAAGGATTTCTCTGATGTGTTCTATTAAATTTGCATAAAACTGAGTAACTCACAGACAGTGTGAGCTACCTGTGGCAAAAGGAGATTAGGACAGACGCAGGCAGATGGAGTTTATTCTTTTTTTCTTCTTCTAAGCCATGTGTTGGTCAGTAAATGTCAGCATTTCAAAATGAGACTGGTGTAAAATAAGCTATGAATCATGAAATGTTTTCATAAAGAAAACTAGGGGATTAAAAAATTCCCAATGTTAAAATTCATGCATTTAAGCTTGCTTTTAAAAGCATTTTAACTATTAGGGAATCTGACATTTTTTAGTAAAATACAAAATAGAATTTTATATGGGTTTTTATTTTGTTTACATTTAATGACACATACATTACAGTGATAAAATGCTTTTTTAAACAAAAAATTAATTTTAAAGCAACTGATGGTCAATTTTATGAGTTATTCTAGTGTGAAGGAATAGATGCAGATGGAGAAATGTTGCAAGGTTCTAATTGATCATATTCCACACAGGTAATCAAATGTATTTAACTTATTTTTGTATTCTGTCACTTCACTGCATTTATTTTTGCCTAATTGGCCGACACAATAGAACATAAATTGAAAGGGAACATATGGGGGAAGTGGTATCACAGGTCAAAGGAACAAAGAATACAGGTTAGGAAAAGTTGTCTGGAAGTTTAAAGTACAATTAGACTATTAAATAAATTCTCAGGCTTTGGAGATCTATCTAGCAATGTTTAAACTATCACTCAAACCTGGACAGAATAAAGAGAGAGGCCTCAACATGACACTGTGGAGGATCTGCAGAGATCCATAGCTCTAATGCCCACAGAATGAGTTGTACAGTCTTCATAATTATCAAAAAAAAAAAAAAAAAACTTCTGCTCAAATTTTGGGGTCAAATTTAAGAAAACTGGTTAACTGCTGCAAAAACTTTAGATTTAGGGAGGATGTACATCTATGGTGCAACCATACACAGCTTTAAAACCTCTTAACTTCCACCTCATTTTCCGTAATCCTCGCCTATTTTGCATACCCAAATGGAAAAGCAAATAACTTAGGAACTGTAAGCCCACATTACATGTGCAATACATTATTTGAAAGCTAACACCCTCTAGTTTCTGAATATATAAATAAAATTGGGTGAGTAAAACACAGCCCAAGCTGCATCAGTTCAAACATGACTCAAAGTTGTTTTTATTCTAGGAAATTATCTTTTTTGAACAGCAGTAATAAAGACATTCTTGAGAAAAAAGCAGGTTTTATTTTATTACATTTGTTCTACATCATGTGAACCACAAATGCGAAAAAATGTCAGACCTCTAGCTATAACAGTTCCAGAGCTGTGGAGTTTGGAACTTTTGGTGTCAGCTTGGAGCTGCGCACAATGGCTCCACCCACTGGTGTCTGTGTTTTACCAGTGGAATTTTATCCATTCTGAATTATTACCCGGTGGGCTTAAAGAGGTTGATGGCTTTAAAAAAGACTTTAATAAGCCTATCAGAAGACTGTTTAGATGTGAATTCAATCAGGAATAGGTGACATGAGTTAAAAGCTGATGGTCTTGCATTCAAGCCAAGTGTTTGCACTAGATTGTATTTTGAAATGGTGGCAGAAAAAAAAAAAAAAACGTGTCTCACATCTCAGTTTTCAGATTTGTGAGGAAATTTAAAAACTAATCAACTCCACAGTAATCTCTCCAATCATTAACAGGTTGCTGTAAAATAACATGTCCAAAAATTACAAGTAGCATAAACACACTGTCCAAAACAATATTAAGCTTCTCCTTTTCCCAAAAACTAAAGAACAATACTAAACTTTAATCAAGCAAATCTTGAGTTCTAATGTTGTTGTTGAGATTTGACTGAAGCAATAAATCAGAGAGCTACAACTGAGAAAGCTGCACATATGAAATCTGTGCTTTTGCAGAAGACTTTTGCTGATTTGTCTAAAAGTGGGGAATACTAACTCATTAGAAGCAGAAAGAATTAGAATCTGCCGTATTACACTTAACAAAGGAATTAAGGAAGTGTTATGAGCAACGATTAAAAAAAAAATAACAACAGGTAAAATAATAAGATACAGAGTAAATTTTCCAGTGTTAAAGTAACACTTTAAGAGTGCATTTGGTCCCACTGGGAATTAGTGTTAAATTAGAACTCTATGTAGTGTATATTTTACTCCAGTTGTTGTTATACCTCTAAAAGAGTCAGTGTACGTTGACACTGCATATTTAACACTGTGGAATTTACTGTGTACTTAAAAAAGAATAAAAAAAGTGTGCGCATACATGTGTTGCATAAATGTTAAAATAACTGGCATGTGATGTCAGCTTTTCCTGACAGATCGAAGCTACATACATAGGTCTTGTGTTAAACAGGGTGGGCATTGGGTATCTGTATATATACTCTCAGCGGTAAAAGGAGGAAGTCAAAGGAGATGACAGAAGCAGATGTACTTAAACACAACACACACATCCATGACCTTGCATTTAACGGCCTGTTATGATGCTTGCAGGGCAATTACAATGAAAATCATTGTGGTCACATCTCATTTTCTAAACTGTTATTATCAGAAACTTAATATAACAATTACTGTATGACTTTTCCCAAGCCATTATCATTATAATGATTATAGGATGCCTTCAGCTCAGCAATCGAACAGAGGTTGAGCTCACATTGTTTAAAGCCCTGTGCTGATTTGCATAATGAAAAAGAAAAGAAACAAATCCTTCTGGTTGCATGCTGTTTAACAATTCAGCTTAATTAGGAGCGAGAATCGGAATGATATTATGGGAGGGATAATAGCGAGAGAGAGAGAGAGAGAGAGAGAGAGAGAGAACCAAAAACTCAAGATCGATATCTTCTGTATAATTACCTACAGCTTCCTGGTTGCTTGGGAACCAAACAGAGATGAGAGAGAAGGGGGAGGAGATGAAGATGATGAGACGGACAGAGACACTAACACAAAGCATAAGACTAATTCCAGGGTAGAGATGATTTCACTCTCTTCGCTGGTCTGTTTAAGTAGAGCCTAAGATGACAGATGAGAAGTTGAAAAAGCAGGGAGAGAAATGAAAGTTCAATGCAGAGTTACAAGGAAGTAGAAGGAGACAGAAGAAGAGACTGATATATGTCTTACTTGTGGGGGAGATTTAATATCTCATTAATATTTACAGAGATACTGGTTGCCTCTTTGTCTTTCATCAAGTCACGTTTTCGTCCCCCTCTCTCTCTCTCTCTCTCTCTCTCTCTATATATATATATATATATATATATATATATATATATATATTTTTAAAAACCTTTAATTCCCTAGGCTTAGAGCCTACGGCTGCACTGCACTTCCCTTGTCTTGGCTGCCCTGCAATTTCTTGATCCTCCCTCTTTTCCATTTGTCTTCCACCTTGGCTTGATCAGTAAGCCCACTCATATTGACTGTACTGGCAATAGCCCAGGGCGGCATTTAAAAGGGGTCATCCAAACCTCAAATAATAAAAAAAAAAAAACTTGCTCTATCATGTAGATATTTGCAGTCGATGAGGAAGTGCCGCCTTCTGCTGGCTGCTTGCCCATTTTATACAGTCTTGGAATTTGAATTATTTTCTCCATCATGACTGGTTAAAAGGTAGCAGAATAAGAAGCTCACCATTTCATGCAAAAGCTTCCATTTTTTTATGAACTATAAAGAAGGGTTGAAAAACTCTGATTTACATGTTTCAAAATGCAATATTTTATGCAAGACAGACCCTAAAGATAAACAAAAAAAAACTCTGATTTACTTGTTTCAAAATACAATTTTTTATGGTTTTATAGAGCCAAGTTGGATCATTTGCTCACAGCAGTAAAGTGTATGTTTAATGAAAAACTTAATGCACAGATTAAAAAAATACATGAGAAAGAAATCATACAGTGAGAGTTTCTTCAAATAGAACAAACGTTTTAGTCAGTGGTAATAACATTTTTAGTTGTTCCAAATACTAGTGAGTTTTGAGTATTTGCTGAGGAACTGTATGGGAAAGTCAATTTAGACTAAATTAGGGACTTACCAGAGAGGAAATAAAGTTTCTGAATGACCAAACTAAACTCAAGAACTGAATATGATCTGAAATATTAGCCATGCTCTGAATAGAACTACGGACAAGAGATGTTCCCACGGTCTAAGAGATATGGGTGACCTTTTCAGGCTGGGTTGGCAAATCAAAGATTGCCATGCCAAGATGTGGAATGCCTGATCCTTCCACAGCCTTCCCTGTGTTAAAACTTGAAGTTGGTTCCATACAAGAGGAGCCTGATCACTAAAAAAACTGCCTCCCATTCTACTTTTAGAAATGTCTCTTTTGCAAACAAAGTATAAGGTCTTTACCTCAACCTGGGATCCACTGATGCAAGACATACTACAACACTATAACATCAAAGTGGTTGATAATCCTGCACCTTAGTCTGCTCTCTTTCCTTAAGAAATTGGTTCTTTTGCCCAGAAATAGAAATCAGAGAAAGTACAGCAGATGCCGGTATTAGCTTACTCCTTTTAATTAATCATTGTTTATTGAGAATTTGTCTTTTATCAAAAATATTAATATAATTTTAAATAGTATAACAAATATGTTTTGCATTTAAGATTTTATAATATCATAAGCATTCATATTTTGTCAATCTGAAAGGATTTTCTGGTAATTGTGGACATCTGAATAAACAAAGAGCGTTTTAATATTTCAACATTAAGCTGCACAAAACCAAAAGCAATAGGTGCATTAACTTCATCGACCAGCTCTACATAACAACATGCTTAATGTGACCTCATTGATATAAAGCACTGTTTATAGGTGTGCTGTTCCTTTAAAAGGAGGGAAGACAGGGGAGGAGCAGGGAAAGAGGAGAGAAAGAGAGAAGGGGAGATGTAGTAAAAAAGGCAGGGTTGTTTTCATGTTTCCCTCTCTGTAGAGAACTGTGTGTGTGGAAAAGAAAGAGGGATTTTTAAAAAAAATAAAGAGAGAATGAAAAGAGAGAAATTGCTTTCAGTTGCTACAAGTTAAACTGGATTTTTCTAAAAGCATTCCAGCAGTTTGAGGAGTTTCTCAGATCAGCATCTTGCAAGAAGATTTTGGACAAGGACTCTGCTCAGAGAATACACTGACCTTTGATGAAGACGTGGTATCCCTCTTTTTGAGATCTAATTCAGTGGCTTTGACACTGAATGTTTCATTTTCATGCAAAATCCTTGATTCCTTTCACACTTTTTTCACCAAAATATTTTTTAAGTTACTTTTTAGATTAATTTCAGCATCTCCTCAAGAGGATATATGAATTTCAGAGACATTTGTTTTGCTCCCTACAATCTTTAAGGTAAAATTACATTGTCTGCACAATTTGGAGAAAGTGTGGGGAGAAAACAAAACAACAGATATTTATGATTTACTTTTTTATTTTGAAGAGATCATTTTGACTGACTATTTACACTTTGATTTATTTATCATTGAAAACACAGCTTTTGACGTTGGCTGTTAAATTTGTGGTTGATAAGATTTAAGTTAAGCTTCTTGTCAATCAATATTTTTTAGACCATAGCTGAATTTTCTAACAGATTTACCAAAGTGCTGTTATAAAGTAAGGGTAGGTTTTAAATTTTTTTGCATTCAGCTCAAAGAGGGAGAAAGAAAAAAAACACACACAGATGGCTCAGAAAGACGGAGGAACAGAGCAGGGGTGCATTAAAACAGAGGACAGTTTAGGGGCCAAAACAATGGTTGGGGCCCCCTCAGCTGGTGGAGGAGTGGTGGTGGAAGTTCGGGAGAAGAAGGGACCTCTGCGGGCTGCAATACCCACAATGCCTTTCCCCGTGGCTGTCATTTGTCTTTTCCTAAACACCTTCATACCTGGGCTTGGTGAGTTCACTGTCCTACTCCTATTATTATTGCTCTAACAAGAATGAAAAACAGAGCTAAAGTTCATAGTGATAAAAATCTGCTACTGAAATGACTAAATCATAAACAGCATGATTAGGTCTGCTCACTGTATGGTTTGACCAACAAACCAGTGTCTGTGTCAGTGTGCAGGAATGCAACTAACCATTACCTTTTGGAACGCTGACAGAAAAACAAAGAAAACATTGCAGTGTTTTAACAATAAAGCCACATCTTGATTAACCAAAAAGTTAATATCGTGCAAAGAGATTAATTCATGAAACTTTACCATCTCCTCTATCTTTTGCCCATTACTGCTCTCTGGGTTCATCCAATACTGCTAATCAATTAAGGACTATTGAGCCGAAGCACGAAGTGTGTCAGCTGTGTCCATGATAAGTGCTATCCAAACAGTGCTAGCAGTAAAGAGGGAGGTAGGAACATACAGCTGGATGGTTTCTATAGATAATTCATGTAGCATAGCTACCCCTCTACTGCTGATCGGATGTATGCACATAGCCCACCTCACAAAACAAAACTTTAAGGGTGAGTAGCGGCCTTTCGGGGAGAGGCAGCCCAACGGTTAGGCCATAGAGCTTTGAATCCTAAAGTTGTTAGTTCAAAACCTGCTCCCCCAGACTGCCACTCTGGGTCTCTGAGCCTTAACCCTCGATTGATCCCCTAATGCCCTACAATGGCAGCCCACTGCTCCCCAAGGGGATGGGTTAAATGCAGAGGTAAATTTCTCCAATGTGAGATAAATAAAGTTAAATTATTATTTAAGTGCTTTCTGTTTGACACATGCAAATGTATGCACCTTCTTATGTTTTGGATTTTAAATTGGAGAGCTAAGCAATTAAATACTTGTGTTACTTGGGCTTTTTGTGATTCCTTTGTGGAAAACTGTATTGCAAGTTTTTATTAGAATCCCCATATGTGTATTTCTGTTCCATCATCACGTCCATAAGGCTATGGGCTGTCTGGATTCTGCACAGCAGTCCAGAGTTTCTTTTTCAACACACAATAATGTTCTTACTGTTATCCAGTGAATCTTGAAGGAAGATGAGCTAGGAACAGGAAGAAAGACCTACGATTTGCAGTATTCGAACGCTGGGGAACTGATGCTATACTGCCCATTGCACCCTGTGTGATTAAACTAATAAACATTCTGTTTTTGCTCAAAGAACCAAGGGTAGAAGCATACAATACATTGTGTTAAACATAAACTGTTTAGTCGCAGCCATAAAGTATCTAGTTTTGCCCATAAACCATCAAGTTCAAGTTTCATCCAGAGCCCAAGTGGTTACATTGATTAAGAGCTTAGTTAAAGCTAAAGATTAAGTGGTTACACCGATAAACCTTGAGGTTATGTCCACAAAGCTTTTTAATTTACCTACCTGTAGACCAAGTGGTTATGCCCACAGACCATGTGATCATTCCTATAAATCTTTTGATTACACCCGTAAACCATGTGGTTACGTCCATAGACTTAGTTGTGACAACCCATATGCCAAGTGGTTTCCACCATAAAAAGAGCAGGTTACACTCATAGGGAGTGTGGATTCCCCCATAGACCATGTGTTTACAGCCATAGGCTGTAGGGTTGCAGTATGGTCTTGTCAATAGACCATTAAGTAGAGCCTATGGTTATGCCCACAGGCTATGTGGCAATGTAATTACACCAATAGAATGGGTAACATTATGGTCATATTTTTTAGTTTAAAGGGTACAATTATTTTCTTATTACTTTTTATTATTTCTTAGTCCTTATGACTTTCTTTCTTTCTTTATCCATCCATCCATCCATCCATCCATCCATCCATCCATCCATCCATCCATCCATCCATCCATCCATCCATCCATCCATCCATCAGTTCATTTTCACCATATTTAGAAGTCTTTCTCCCTTTAGGAGGACACATATTAGAAAGGAGACATAGGGATGTTGGTGGAAAACTATGAACTCTAATGCCAATAAAAATCAATAGTGATAACTGGCCTAATATACTGATAACTGGTTTATCATTAGACTCATCTAAATTATTCAAATTAGTCTTTTTTTTAGAGTACCTTAAATTTTAAAGATGCATAAACTAGGATGCTGGCCTTGTTGGAAAATTATCTTTTAAAGTTCCTCTTAAATTCCTAACCAGCTATTTTAAAACCTTGTCAAAATGTCCATCTCTGTGAAACACCTGTAAGAAAAGGCAAAGAAAAGCAGTGAGAGATATCCTTCACCTATAGAAATTTGTCAGGAGTATGAAAACACTACCTGACCTTACCAAATGTTAATGGATGGAAATGTCACAATGTGGATGAAAAGAGAAATGTAGTTGGTGTCATTATTATGGCAGTAATATCCTTATTTGGGGGCCATGTGTTCTTATCAAGTCAACAAACCTTGACTGTTTGGTGAAATTAAAGGTATTGTGGAGGATTTTTTAAAGGACCCGCCCTCTCCACTTAAAAAAAAAAATGCGCGTGCAAGAGCATGCACGAGGCCATTCCTCCTTGAGCACTTCCTGTTTAAAATGTGCTGTTCTCATAGCTCATTAAAGCTTACTGTGTCCACATACAGCACAAACTATATAGTGGACTTTATAGCAAACTCAGTTAACTGACCGTTATATAATGCTTTGCAAGGATAGCTCTCCGCAGAAAGCATTCTGGGATATATCTGCCTCTTCTGAGGCCTTTCTTCTCTTCTCATACACGTCGTAGACACTTTTTCTCTTACGACCCTCTGCTATTTTCAAAGAACCGCTGTGAGAAAGGTGAGCTTCAATGACTGGCTGGAACCATAGCTCAACACAGATATACGCCTGAAAGTGCGCATGCGCAGAAAGGATTACTAACTGGGGGAGCACATGGAACGGCCTTATGTAAACATATCACCAGAATGATTGACACATAGGAGCTCCACTTATTTAGATGATCCACCCGGAAGTAAAAGATCGTCCTCTATACCTTTAACCTATTGAGTTTTTTATCCAGAATAGCATTAATGCATACTCCGTCTGTTATTTGGCGGTTGTTAGCCATTCGGATTATTAAACAAACTTTTAGGAATTGTTAACTTGAATTTTTACAATTTTCACATGGTCTTTTGGTATTCCTCGCTTAGAATAGCCTTTTTAGGCATCCTTTTATGTTTACGGAGATCTGCCTAATCTAGAAGGTTAAAAGGAATTTAACATTTTATAAAGATCTTGGTTTTGTAAAGTATTTTCAATTTATTTGAGTGCACACTACTATCTAATCCTGTTAAGCAGTGCTTGCATAAAGGTTCCCTCCACTCTCCCTTTCTGTCTGCATCATATCTGTCTTTGATAATAGATGTTTCCAAACATCAGAACTTAAAGTGGCCATTTAACGATGACCATATGAATTTCTATGCCAGCAGTTCACTTTGGTTACATACTGGGTTTTCTGATTGAATATCATCACCTGTTGGTTTATATTATTTTTGTGTGTTTATAAAGCCAAGAGCGATACTTTATGACAATGTAGCACTTGCTAAACAGAATTGTAAAGTTGGTGCTAGCTGAAGCAGGAGATAAAGCAGTGGTAGGATTTAGATTTCTCCACCAAGTTTATAGATTTATGAATACACTGCTTTACTGCTTCTAAAGTAGTGAAAGCAATGCATTTCTTAGACTCTTAGTTATAATGATTGAAAAGTTGTGGAATGCATAGGATTTTTGCCATTATTCAAAATTTCCATTCGGTAATACAAGCAGCCACCAGATGCCACATAATGTATATGTCTGCTGTTTGACCCCAGTGCAAAAATAATTTTCCATCCCAAAAAGGACTAAGTAAACTCTAAAAGGATGATTGTGATTTTAAAGTCATGGCACGATATTAGATTTTTTGTAAGTTAGTTGAAAGTACTTGAAATGTTATCAGTGATGGTGCTTATGTTTTCTAGCTGTGCACTACATTTTACAAGCTTCATAGGAGAACTTTTTTCATCAGGATGTTTATGGATTTACATAAACACTTCCTCAGTAGAGCAGCAGGGCTATGAGTGATCTGCACAAGTTATATATATATATATATATATATATATATATATATATATATATATATATATATATATATATATATATATATTTGATTTAGCTTCCCATCATTTCTAAATTGGCCTCTTTGAAAATCATCTTTTTCATTGTCAATTGCATTTTTTTACTTAAAAACAAACATTTCTTAATTGAACAGAAAACATCTGAAATATTAAACATCCTGTGACAGACTGGCGACCTGTTAAAGCTGTATCCCATAGGCTGCCATACATAGGCACCGGTCCCACCACGACCCTGACAGAAAAAGCTGTAGAATATGGATGGATGTTAAAAGAATCTGATTTATTAAATCAAAACTAAGCAAATATTTCACAGTGTTTAAGGTTATCTTCATATTTTTATACTGGAAAAGCAAAACTCCGATAGACTCGACACCTGTCCAGGGTGTACCCAGCCTGTCCCCTGTAGTCAGCTGGAGATAGGCACCAGCACCCCCTGCAACCCCGCTTTGGGATTAGGCGTGTCAGAAAATGAAATAGATGGATGGATGGAAGGATGGATGGATGGAAAAGAAAAAAACACAGAACAACAGAATCTGAAGACAAGTTTCTAATTAAATAAAATGTGTATTTTTTATATGGCATGAGTACTTATTTGAGGTCAGACTGGTGCAAAAATGGATGTGTCTAATTTTTCTGGCATGTGGTGTAGGCTTAATAAAACTTGTTTAAGATGGGCTTTGATGACAGTAAAATATATAAAATAAAATTCAAGTCTTTGATGATTGTCTGTTGTTTGTACATGTAGAAACAGTTTGACTCCAAACAGTCATAATGCCCTAGGTATAAAGCAGTAATAATCCTTTGTACTCTCTGAAGTCCATCTGATTGCTTCACTTTGTGTAGTTTGCTGCAAACAGGGATCTGATTGACATCATTATCTAAGATAATGATGTGT